TTTGTATTAAATACAAAATAATCAGGCAATCTCTGAAGTGAAAGAACCAAAGTTAGCATCCTTATTTGAAGGAGACTAGAAAGGGTGACTGCAGAACTACTTCATTATAAATTTCTTCCTGGGGCTAGATTCTTACATGTTATCCACCCAAGTTCCCTGGAAGAAGAATCATCCATTATTTTACTGATGAGAAAAGTGAGGCTCACAGATTGCAGGCAAATCAGATTCTGTTTTACAGTTGCATTCAGTGTGTGCTGTGTGTGTGTGTGTGTGTGTGTGTGTGTGTGTGTCAAAGCCTATGTGCTTTTCCTGAAAAACAGTAGCCTGAGGGAGAAGCTACATCTGGGAACAAGAGTGAAGGTAATGAAGGGTGAGAGATTAAAAGACACAGAAACAGATAGTAGACTGCCTTTGCCATCTGTGGGCTGACAGCTCTGGCTTGAGGCTTGGCGGTGAAGGAAAAAAAGCTTTGAGAAAAAAAAGAATAAAAAAGCTCTGGACTCACCTAGACCTGAGTGTGAGAGATGTGAGAGATGACACAGTTTCTTATCTCTCTGGCTCACCATTCCCTAAATAGAAAATTAGAATAGTAATGGCTACCTGTTAGGGTGGTTGAGAGGATTGATTAATGTGAAACCATACAGACTTCAACAGCCCTGGCACAGCCAGTATTAAATAAATGGCAATGTATAGTAGAAGAGCAATTTTATTGCTTGGTATTCTTAAATGTTACATGAATAAATGTTGCGGACATACTATTATGCACAAAAGTAGAAAACATAGCCAGGAATTCCAAGCCTTAAGACTCTTAGAAGAATAAATGTTATTTCCAAGAAATAATGATTTTTTTCCTCTACCTTATTTTTTAGTGAACAAATATCAGCAATACTTTCATCACAAAATTCATATTTAAACCAAAACAGGTTATTTCAAATATAAAAACTTACGTATTTTTTTTAATTTGAAATTTCATCATACAGCTTAATTTTTTTGCCCAAATAACAAAGTATATGTTTTATAGTGTTTTGGTGTTGGAAAACATCAAAATTTTGTAAAGCTTTAGGATTAATCCAAGGAACTTGTATTTTGAAATATTTTTGAATGGTTTGCGCTGACTGCCTCTTTTCAAGAATTAAAAACCATGCAAAAACCCATGTTGAAAATGAATCATATTTCGTATCTCTTTTACTAGATGTCAACAGGTTGCTAATGATAATGCAAGGGCTATCACAAGATACTTTCTTGTGAAATGTAACACAGACTTTTTTTAAGTTTTTTTGTTTGGTTGGTTTCGTCAGAACATGCATATAAATGAGCTGCATTTATGGAAAAAATAACCCTGGATGAAATATCAAAAAACTAAAGCTTATGAAGAGTTGTGTGTATAAGCTCTACAAAAGTGATCATCAACATGGATAGAAGAATTTCTTCAGCAGGCAGAACATCAGGACAATTGAACTATCATTTAACAAGTTTTGCCAGTAGGCTCATCATTTCCACTTTAGGAAAATACGATGTTGTCAAAAGAAACTAATAGCAGGCATTTTATTGATTAGTTTTGGGATATATTTTATATGTGTCATCTCATTTAAGACAGCAGGCTTTTGAGCTAAAGGCATTATCATTATTGTATTGTCATAGTACATATGAAGAAAATAAAACTTTGGGTAGTCATGTGAATTCCCCATGGCCCTGTAGGTAACATCCTGCAGAGCCCAGATTTAAACTCAAGTATGTCTAGTTTCCGAGTCCACAGCACTATGCTTCAGGCCTCATGACTGACTCCCGGAGTCTGCAGCGGATGTCCTGTCCTAAGAGCTTTATCCCTTTTCGACAGTTCCACATACATTTCACCTCCCTCTTATCCAGGCAAGATTGGGAGGGAGTGGGAACATTAAGGAGACCCTTGGCTATATTCCAAAGGATAAGCTTCTGATACCAATCTTCCTCAAGTGATGTATCATACTTGGTTCTTACCCTATTAGTAACTGCTTTCAAGGGAAAAGGAAGTGTCCACACAGCAACTTGCACACTATTATTTAGCCGTAGGGAAATTTTTAAATGAGGCATAATCTTGTAGTTTTCCTCATCTGAATTATATGTACCTGAGATTCAACCCTCCATCCTCCCCATCAGTGTTTGGATTCTTTTTCTTTTTTTAAGAACCAGCTGTTGGCATTACCTCCTTCTGCTTCTGGATGCTTATTGAATCACATTAACCAGTGCTCTCAATTTAAGTGATCCCAGAGCCAGGGAAACCACCCTGATGTGTGTTCCCTAGCAACATTTTCCCTGAAAGTTTGCCTTTCACAGAAAGAATGCTGTGTGGTTGGAGTCACACATTATGTGGCCTTTCCAGATTGGCTTCTTTCTCTTAGTAGTATGAGTTAAAAGTTTCTCAGCCCTCCTGGTGGCGCAGCAGGTTAAAGCACAGCACAAAGAAGCTTAAGCCACTTCCGCAAAGACCTCTCCTGACCCGCCCGCTGCTCCCCTCAGCAATGTACTTGGTCGATCTGCCTGTTCTGCTCCCCACTCTGTCTCTGGTGAAGCCTCTCACCCTCCGCATCTCTGGCCTGTACTCCAGTTCTGTACGAATAAGTAAATAAATCTTAAAAAAAAAAAATTCCTCTGTCTTTATAGCTCATTCTTTTAGAACTGAAGTCTGTTGTGTGGATATACCAGTTTATCCGTTCACTTACTGTAGAAAATATTGGTCATTTACAAATACTGATAATTATGACAAAAGCTACTATAGAATATGTGTGTCGGTTTTTAAGTTTTTGACTTACCTGGGTAAATACCAGGGAGCATGAATGCTGGATGACAGGACACAAGTGTGTTCTGTCTTGTAGTAAGAAGCTCCCAACATGAGTATCATTTTGCATCCCCACATCCTCACCAGCATTTAGTGTTGTCAAAGTTTTGGATTTCAGTCATTTTGTAGTTTGTAATTTGTGATTCTCTGATGACCCATCATGTACAGCATCGTACCATATTCTTGTTTTCCATCCATACACCTTTACTGGTGAGATGTCTCTTCGGGTCCCCTGGATATTTTTAAGTGGGTTGTTTGCTTACTGTTAAATTTTTTTTTTAAGATTTATTTATTCATACAGAACTAGGGTACAGGCCAGAGATGTGGAGGATGAGAGGGTTCACCAGAGACAGAGTGGGGTACAGAACAGGCAGATCAATGAAGTACACTGCTGAGGGGAGCAGCTGGTGGGCCAGGAGAGGTCTGCCTCGCCATGTGGATCTCCTCCCAGGCAGGCGGGAATCGAACTGATGCGCAAGTGGCTCAAGCCTCCTTGTGCTGTGCTTTTACCCGCTGCGCCACCAGGAAGGGCCCTGCTTACTGTTAAATTTTAAGAATTCTTTGTATGTTTTGGCTAGCTAATCCTTGCTCAGATATGTGTCTTTAAGAAATTCTCCCCACTTAGGACTCAACTTTTCCTTCTCTTAATGCCCTATGACAAACAATAATAACATAGTTATTATAGCTTAACCACTAGTATAGAAATATGTCATCAATTACTTTGTGTTATAGGAAGAAAAGTTTATCTTCTGTGGCTTCTTTGCTAAAATAAATTTAAGGATCATGAATATGTCTCTTCTTTTTGTACTCTTTCCCCTTTCTAACTTAAACTGCTGGGATCCAAGCAGTCTGTTTTCAGGAGGCTTTGCTTAAAATTATTTGGACTGTTTTGATAAAAAAAAAATGATCCATTATATACTTTTATCCAAACAACAGCCAGGTACTCAGTAAATGCATATGGATCATGCCTTTTTAAATTAAAAAAAAAACAAAACCTTTAATTCGTTGAAATTTTATTTAGCTTTCAATTTATTTCTGATAATTTTCACATTTCTGATAACAGTGATTTGTTTTTTACTTTAGTTTTTGTTACCCCTTATTGTAAATAGCACATTAAACAAAATCTTACTTAAAATTAGGTCATGTTATATAATTTAATGATTTTAGCAGCTTTTTGCCACTTTTAAATACACACACACTAGTAGTCAACCTGGGTTTATAAAACAAGAATTTTTTTTTTTTTGTAAATCAAAGTAGTTACTTGTATTAGTTTACAACTCTGATATAAATTTTCTCAATGAATTGATTTGCTCAGGAAAAATTACATATTTAAAATCAAGATCACATAGATGTCTAGGCCACTTGTTTTCTAAATATTTGTATATGAAGAAGTCCAGTGTGTGTAACAGACCAATGTAGACCTACCTGTTCTGCTTGAGGGCCTCATGGAGGTGGAAGAGACCAGAGCACACCTCTCTCTGCCTTTTCGCAGTACCTCTGTACATAGGGCATATAAAGAAGAACTGGAAAATTACTCTAAATATGTTTCTTAGTTAAAGCAACAGAAAAACCAATAGTCATTACTGAGCTATTTATCATGGAGCTGTAGGTGTCTAATTTATAAGGTTTCCGAATTAGACTTCAGGGCCTATGTTACGTTTTATTACAGTCTACAACATAAGTGTAGACTGGCAAGAATTAAACTAAAAGCCTGTTTAACAGCTGTTATGCATCTGGGAGTTTGGTTAAAAGGGTCTAGCTTAGCTTAGCCTGAGTTGTGATAAAAACCAGGGTCTAGAGGCCTTTTAACTAAAGTCTTGTGGTCTGATCAGAGCCGTATTTAATACTGGCCCATAAGTCCACATAATTATAATTTGTAAGAGTCTTTAGGACATCAGTAACTTTTAAATCTTTACCATGTGAAAAATGATTATGTCACCTGTGGACTTTAAAAGTAGCTAGCACACTGGAATAAAGTTGATGATCAAACTAATTCTGTAATTTTGTCCAAGTTTTGTACTTAGGATGTTCCAACTATTCTCTATAATACACTACTCCTTTTAATATGCTTCGAGGAGGAATTTTAATTCTGGTAAATGAATGTTTCTTGAGAGATTTGTTGTACCGCAGGGAAAGATGGGTTGCTTTATTAATGTAACCTTATTGCTTTTTGGCTTTCTCCCAGGCTTGCAGATGGGTCAGGGACTGTGGAGAGTGGCCAGAAACCAGCAGCTACAGCAAGAAAACTACAGTGAGCAAGGCTACCTCAGCAGAGAGCAGAGCAGGAGAATGGCTGCCGGCAACATGTCCAGCAGCAGTCATCGTAAACAAGTCCAAGGAGGCATTGATATATACCATCTTCTAAAGGCAAGAAAGTCGAAAGAGCAGGAAGGATTCATTAACTTAGAAATGTTGCCTCCCGAGCTAAGCTTTACCATCTTGTCCTACCTGAATGCAACGGATCTCTGCTTAGCCTCGTGTGTTTGGCAGGACCTCGCAAATGATGAACTTCTCTGGCAAGGGTAAGTTCAGCGTGCCAGCATGGTTCAGGTATCTCTTGGCATAATCACGCTTAACTAGTCTTTTTGTAATAGCATTATATGTACTTTGAAGTGTTTCTTTTTAAGTTGGCCTTATACTTTGAATTGCTTGGTGTAAAAACCTGGAAAAATATAGTTACCACAGTCAAATTTGATGTTAGGAAAAGGACAATGTAACAGAAATGGCATCACCATTACAGGAGAGTTTGCCAATCAAGATGTGTTTAGGGCCTCCCTGGTGGCATAGAGGTTAAGTCTCAATGTTAACACCTCTATGGCCAGAGTTCGATCCCCACCAGGGAGCTAACCTATATATAGCGCTGCCGACCTCTCCTGTCTTGCCCATGGCTCCCCTCAGCAGTGTATAGATCCACCTACTTGCTCCCCACTCTGTCTGTGGTGAATCCTCTCTTCCCCACGCCCCTTTCACCTTTGGCCTACACCCCTGTTCTTCTACATACACACACACACACACACACACACACACAGAGAGTTTATTATAAATTACAAATTGTTAGTTTATTCTAAAAATACAAGTTATGAAGTGAAAATTTTTTATTCTAGCTGTAAAGTGTCAACATCCCTGGTGTGGTTTATGCTTCCCATTTGAAATGGGAATTTTTAAAAATCAGTAAATATTCGGGCCCTCCCTGGTGGCTCAGCAGGTTAAAGCACTGCACTGGGAAGCTTAAGCCACTTCCGCATGAGTTCGATCCCCGCCTGCCCCAAGGGACATCCACATGTAGTGGCAGACCTCTCCTGACCCGCCCGCTGCTCCCCTCAGCAGTGTACTTTGTCTGTCTGCCTGTTCTGCACCCCACTCTGTCTCTGGTGAAGCCTCTCACCCTCCGCATCTCTGGCCTGTACCCCAGTTCTATATGAATAAATAAATAAATCTTTAAAAAAAATCAGTAAATATTCTCAAATCATATTGTTTTCATTGGTTACAAATTGAGTATATTTCTGCATTTACTTATTTATATATCTTAGCTTTTTTTTAATATCAGAGAAGTGAAACTATTTTAAAACTGATTCATTCTTCATGATAATTGTTTATCTGCATGTTAGTATTTCCAGAAAACTTCATTTGTATTTCTATATTTGAACTTAGAAAAGTTTACTTCTATGCTTATTGGAACCCAATCAGAATGTAATCTTCACTTGAGGTTTAAATCTAGATTATTCATTTCTGAAAGAAATGCTTCCTTTATTGTTTATCATGTAATTATACCTATTTTTATGACTCCTGGATTTAACTTTGGATATATTGATTATTAATATAGAGAGGCTTTTTTACTTTCACATAGCTTAAAAAAGAAAAGTTAAATGCTAAAGAGGCTGCTAAAATATTGATAAATTTTCTAAACCAGGTATTAAGCTTGATGTTTCAGGGTCAGTTTGTTTTATTTGATTGATAAAAATAATGCAAGGATATAAATTAACTATTAAGATAGTCTCACATTAAATTAGGTATTTTCCCCTATCCTTAAAATTGTTTATGTTGGCCCTCCCCGGTGGCACAGCGCGTTAAAGCACAGCACTGAGAAGCTAAAGCCACTTCCACATGAGTTCCATTCCCGCCTGCCCCGGAGGCGACCACATGGCGAGGCAGACCTTTCCTGACACACCCGCTGCTCCCCTCAGCAGTGTACTTTGTCGATCTGCCTGTTCTGCTCCCCACTTTGTCTCTGGTGAAGCCTGAGCCTCTGGCCTATACCCCAGTTCTGTATGCACAAATAAATAAATCTTTTTTTAAAAAAAATTGTTTATGTTGTAGGCTGAGAAAGCAATTTTTCTTGTTTTTCTATACATTGTGTATGTGTAAGAAGAAGTTTGAAGCAAAATTAATAATGATTGTCAGAAAATGAAACTTTTAATGTTTTTGAACACATAAAAATCAGGTCATTTTGAGACATGCTGTTAAAAGAATATCAAAATATAGTTTCAGTATTCTCATGCATTTATATTTAATAATCTCTAATATATAGGCTGAATTTCTAGGTGTTTTAATAAGCTAGAACTTTAGCTTTCAAGTAATATCTAGCTAATATGTTGGTAGAGTTCAAAACAACTATACCAATCTATAGAAATGGCATGTTTGACATAATGAACTGACAGCATTTTAGATTTTGCAGAATTTTTAAACAATCCTGTATCACTGTGAGAATGAAAAACCAGTGTTTTGAAACAGATCTTAAAAATAGCTGTGCTTTCTGCTGGTGGGAATGCAAACTAGTACAACCACTATAGAAAACTGTTTGGAGATTTCTCAAACTGCTGAACATGGAGCTTCCATATGACCCAGCAATCCCACTCCTAGATACCTACCCAAAAGACACAAAAACTGATTCAAAAAGATACCTGTACCCTCATATTTATTGCTGATTTATTTACCACTGGAAAGACATGGAAACAGCCCAGGTGCTTAAAAGTGGATGACTGTGAATCAAAAGCTGTGGTACATATACATGATGGAATATTACTCAGCACTCAAAAAGATAAATGCATGCCTTTTGCAACAACATGGGTGGAGCTGGAAGGGATCATGCTTAGTGAAATAAGCCAGAAAGAAAAGGAAAAATACTGGATGGTTTCACTTATAGCAGGAGTATAAAGGACCAGGCAAGAAAATAATAATAATGAACAACTATATACCAGAGACATTTTTCGGGGGTAGAATGGGGATTGGGATCAAAAACAGTGGGGGCAGGGAAGTGCACTGTACTATGGTGATGGCACATGGATGATTTGGTGATGGGAAGCCCACGGGGATTACAACTGAGATGGAAAAAGGCTCAAAATGATGTAAAAATAAACTATTATTTTTTTTTAAATAGCTGCACTTCATATCACAGCTTTTGATGCATATGTTGAAGTTAATGAAGGTATAACAATTTTTGTGTTTATTTTCCTTAAATATGCATTATTGCAAAAAAAACACACAGAAGGCCCAGCAATCTCTGCTAACCCTATTCAGTTTTATTTCACATTTGCACTCTAAGGTTAATTAGTAGATCCTTATTCACTTCTTAGTTCAACTTGCAAACTCTGAAGTAAGACTCCTGGGGTTTAAATCCCATCTCCATAAATTAGCTGTGTAACTTTGAGCAACTCGTTATTTGTCATGTCTATATTTCTTAATTTGTATTTCTTAATTTTTAATTTCTTGAATTGTAAAGACTAAGCAGGTTAATCCTACTAAATGTTTTAATTAGTGTCATATTTATAAGCAATTGGTAAATGTTACTATTATTATAAATACCTTATATTTAACTTCATGTAGCATGCACAAATACTATTCATCTATGTAACTCACATTTTTTAAGGGCTATCAAAATTGCTAAGTTGCAGAATGGCCTGTCATGCTCTAGCTAATAAAAAAAAAGTACAGAATTTAAAAAAAAAATATTTTAGAGCTGTAAGATCCTATTTTATTATATCATGTCATTTTACTTTTTTATAACATATGCATGTTTTATTTGGGAAGTTAAATATAGTAAATTTTTTTGTCTGATTTTTTTTTTTTTTCTCTTTTACAGCTTGTGTAAATCCACTTGGGGTCACTGTTCCATATACGATAAGAACCCACCTCTAGGATTTTCTTTTAGAAAATTGTATATGCAGCTGGATGAAGGCAGTCTCACCTTTAATGCTAATCCAGATGAGGTAAGTGAAGAACTTGAGTTTTTGTAACAGTTTATTACTCTCAGACTTTATTACTCTCTACTGCACCTTTCTAATTTATAAACTTGTAAGTAATAACAGGTCACTGAACATGCCTTTTCAATCACTGTGAAGCCCAGGATTTGAAGTTCTGGCACATGACACCATGTGGCAGTGTGACCCTTTACTCGCTCACTTTGTATGTATGCCAGTTCTGGGATGTGTATACTTAATTGAGATACACGCATTCCACTATATGGCGAGCACAAGATATGCTCATCAAATTTTCTCTGCAGTATTTCCTTCCTGTTGCATTGTTTCTACTTAATAAGGATGACACTTTTGACAGAGATGATCTGAACAGCACGTCAAAATGTCCTTAATTATTGCTTTTAATAATCTTAATTCCATGTTGACTCAGAAACTGCTTATATAAAATGGATTCTTGGTAGTTTGTCCTGTGGAAAAATTAACTGGTCAACTTTTAATCTTCTTGCAAAGATATTAGTTGAAATAGTACAAAATATTTTTTAGAATTGGACTTGTGGTGAACTAGATATATATATTTAAGGCATTTCTTTTCTCCTTTAACCAGTGAATAGAAGAATGATACTTTTAATGAAAACTAAGTGATTTATAACAAGTGAAAGTTTAGTTCTGTATGCAAAACCAATATAATATTAATTTCTAGAATCTAACAGTCATCATTTAGAAGGCAAATGAATGGATATGATAAATTTAAGTTTTGCAACTTGACCCTTTATTCAAAATGCCTCTGATAATTTTTTCATAAAATAAGCCTTTTTTATTTGAATTTGGGTCAAATCCAAGTTCACTTCATTCTACCTATGTAGCAACAGCAAGGATGACCCCTTTTTTACCTTGCACCATGGCGTAAGCGTGCTGTGTGAGATTCTGCCACACTCATATACAGTGCGGTGCAGTTTCAGACTCTTGGTTCTTATTAGACTTAGACACTACTTGTTGCTAATGATTCATGTAAAAACCTGATTATATGGTATACATATTTTGCATTAGATATTTGGGTTAGTTGAATGTTTATTACTCAAGAAAAACTGAGGCAGAATAGTTCAGTGTTTTGCTCTAGATACATGAAGAACAGGAAAGGTGATCTTGTTACAAGCGCCAGTCTTATCATACCCACTTTATCAAGGCACACTGGCTCCTGTCATGAATTATACTGATGTTGAGTAAAATTGTCATCTTCAATTATATCACTTGCAAATGTTACATTCTAAGGAAAACATTACTCGGTAAGTATTGAGTTGTAGATTTACATGTCAGAAAAATTGGATGTAACTGCTGAAACTGATTATGGTAAGTAGTCATTCCTTACTAAAGAAATTATAAATTATAAAGTCATTCATTTTATGCAAAGATGAAAATATAGGCCCTCATATACTAAAATATAAGATTGGTAGTTTTACATATCTCAATTAGAAAAACTGGGTGTCAAAATGTTTCCATCTTTGCAACCACATGTATCTTGTCAGTACCTCCTCTAGTGTTGGAGGGGGGGCAGAGAACAGAGGTAAAATGAAAGTCCTTTTTTTTTTTAATCTGACAGTTTTTTTTTTTTTTAATTTCAAGCCAAATGCTTGCTAAGAGAGGAGATTGGAAATATTAATTAAAATTTCTTTAGATCTTCAGATTTTCTTATCCATCCTACCTCCTACTGTTATTGAGAGTTGGCTGTATTTCCTTTTTCTTCACTCCCTGGCCTGACTTACAGACATGCTGGGCCATTCCAGAATCATTGAACTCACCATTCCAGAGCAACCATTCCAGGTGACTTGTAGCTGCAGAATTCTGCTTCTATGCTTTTCTGTCTCTGTAAAGCACAAGTCTACCTTCACCGTGATTCACTTATAGTATCTACAGTATCAGTAGGCAAAGGAAGACTCTGAAGTACACTGTTGGTGCAGAGGAAAGAGGGAAGGTGTTTTAATGGTTGTGCTTCTTTCTGATATAGTTAATTACAACTAATGTTGGTTTGGTTCATTTTTTTTATTCAGATCAAACCTTCAAACTTAATATGTAAGAGAATTATTTATTTTGAGATTTGTTTTTACTTAGAACTTACCTGTGTAACCCATACTTTAAACAGGTCTTAGAATGACTTTTTCTAAATTTTTAAAAGAACTTTAGAAATCAGAAAATATTTTTTGTTTTTTGTTTTTGCTACTCAGTGGAGCACTGTCACCAGATATATTCTTTTGGTTTCACTTAAGCTTTCGAAATAAATTTGTCCTGATGGTATGTAAGTGGTGTTCATTATAAGTACCCGAGATGACATGTATATAATTGTTCAGTATTGTAAAAACTTTACTTTTCCATAATTGCTGGTTCTGTACTTAACATTTTGATAGCAAAGCATCACTAAAATATTATAAAAATAAGAATACTTGCAGCCACAGGGAACAAGATTCTTCAAGGACATCGCATTTCACGGATATGGGTAACCCAACGCCACAGCAGCTGCCGGCAGCGGCTCATGGGGTGGGGGAGGACGTCGGCACGTCTGTGGTACGATGATCTGGCACGCTGTTGTTACCTGCATGAAACGTGGTCTCAGCTACGTGTAAAGTGTTGACCTTGTGCATGAGCTTGTGTACTTTGTGGCAGGCGACCACATTCTAGTCAACGAATGTGCTACAACTTTGACACTAGGCTGTATCTCCCCTGCATGTCCCAGTTATGTGTGTTGGTTTTATTCCACTAGTGGTGTTACAATATAGTAATTTTACTTATCAGCCAGAAAACTTTATTCCTTGTGCTCCATTTGGTATTAAACGTTTTCTTGGAACAGTTATTCTTACATTTAGAGTCCAATAAATTGGTAGTGAACATGGATTAACTTTAATGTGCTTAATTTGTCTATGCAAATGTATTTTTTTAAGTATTTTTATTACTGTGGTCATTGGGATCAGGTAAAAAGTTTTTCTTAAATTATATAAGCATATTTTCCCTGCATTTATAGAGAAAGATACAGTGCATTTAATATGTCGCACTTTATTGGATTGATCTGGTATAGAATGTATTTTGAGAAACACTTTCAATATAATCTGTGCTCATGTTTTAGTTGGTAGAAAGACATAAGCAAAGTATTTTCAGGATGACATTCTCTTGTTGAACCAGTTAAAATATAAACCAGGGAATTTGTAGTTCTGTGTTATAAGATGTATCTCAGGAGTTTATACTCAGTTCCCATGAATATTAAATCTTATTGACTTTTTGCTCCAGTGTACAATAGCAAAATGTTCATGACTGTCACTTCGTAGCACGGTAACAGCAATGAAAAATTTGCTTTTGCTCTTATTCCTAGAGGTAGAAAACACTGATTGTTGCCATCTGACTGGAAAGAGACAGATTTCCCAAATGTATTCTTTGGAGTGATTTATTTCATAGATAACAGACATAGTTAAAGGAGTTACTAGTCTAATGCATTTGACCATAATAGGTTATTATTGCTGATTTACAGAGTAAGTTTTCAAAGGCTTTAATACTTTGGTGCATATCATGAATAGCTGAGAGAAGTATGTTGTTCTGTGGTTTTTCTAAGTTTATTTGATATGTTGTCCTTTTAGGGGAGGTGAAGTAACATTCTTGAAATCATATTCTGGGATGTGGTAGTATCAATTACCTGTAACATAACTGTGTGAATAAATGGATAGACACCAGATTGAATGATTAGAATACCCTTTGTTCACCAACAGTTACGTGATATTTGCCTGAGATCTTTCGTCTTTGTGAAAGTCTTTGAACCTACAATTATTTGTTCTCTTTCTTTGGCTTGATAGTATTAGTTAAAAAAAAAAAAAAAACTGAGAGTTGAGTTTTGACAGATTGAGAGATTTAGCCATGTTCTAGATTAAGGAAAGTGTTCAGAAAATAAGGATAGGGCAACAAACCTAAGAGCAATATTGATTTCAGAAACTTGCCAGGAGACAATGCTGTAAGTATCCTTGACAAGTAATTAGGACAGATCATCCATCACTACATCCTTGGCATGTCATTCTCCACACGCACCTGACAGGGGTTTTCCCAGGGAAGACTGGCAGGCCACTGAGATGCTTTTAGTTTGGAAATGTATTTGCATTTTGATATTTTATCCTTAGTTTACAGACCTGGAAATTGGACTTTATCTATCTACCAAATCAGTTATTCAAGGAAAAACTGAATTGTAGATAGTAGAACCTAAGCCATGTTGACAGTAAGACGTGCATACTTGCGCAGTGCTGATAGCAGGAAAAGGAAAATGACTGAGTCCAAAACTCATCACTTTTGTTATACGTTCAACTGGATCCAGGAGTACTGCTGCTGCTCCACTCAGTTTTAGGGTCTGCGTCCTGCACTGCCCACTTTTCCCTGCCAAGTAGGGTGAATGGACTTGAAGAAACAGAATGTAACGAATAGTAGCTTCCACCATGGACTTTTTTAAAAATAGACTCAGAGGTGGATATAACAGTCATTTCAGTGATACACTGATCTCATCGTGGGCTCTTGTGTGTTGACTTTAACCTTTCTCTATACCAAGATGGCTCAGAATATCACATTCTCATGCAAAAGTTGATATCGCGTTGTCCTCTGTAAAAGAAAGGGACAGACAAATTCTTTATGCACATTAGAAGGAAAAAATACTTCCAGGATCCTCACTTTATACTTCTGCTCATCTTAAATTGAACCAAAGGGAATCACATGAACACCCCTAGACTAAGAGAGAACAGAACAGAAAGGATTATGTGATAGGCTTTGATGTGCCATGGCATAGCTACCTCAGCTGAGATTCTGGAAGTTGTGAAAAGAGTGAAACATCTGCAGCACATTTCTTACCGGTGAACCATTTACAAATTTGTGATTCCACTTTCCTTGTTTCTGAGCCCTGCTACTTTAAGGGCCTTAACACCCAAAAGAAGAATATTGCACCAGACTCTCAATTCAATTGCTTGCAGACTACTTTTTTTTTTTTTTTTTTTTGCTTC